TGGCTGCCTTAAGGATCACATGCGCAAGAAAGACAGTTTTTTTGATCGCTGACCATTGTTTTTTTTGGGTTTTCCTCCAGAATTTTGAAATTTTCAGGACTGATAGCGATATTGCTGTTCCATATGGCACGTTCAAAAGAATCAGCAGTGAAACACCAAAGGAACAGATCTGGGATTGGAACGAGGTTTGGATTTGATGCGGCAGTCGCTGCGCATTACGTTAGGGACAGAAGCACGAGATAAACCATTCGTACAAAATGCACTTTTGCGCCCTTAAAAGTAAAATTAGCAAAAATCCTGGAAAAAATAACATCGGAAGTCCGATGAAGGTCGATACATATTTGAAATCTGACAAGAAGCACTGAGACAAATCATTGTAGGTAGTAAGAATTGCAAAAGGAAAAACCAAAACAGCGTTCCAAGTGGTTTCCAACTGCTGCACAAAATCAAAACGTGAGTTGTACGTAGAGGAATTGAAACGTCACATGAACATCACTCTAGTTGGAAATTGTAATAACAGCCCATGTGACGCAGAATGTGAAAAAAATCTAGTAGGTATGTTACTTTTTGATTAAAAAAAATGTCACTGAAAACTGTTTTGTGGACTACTAAGCCTGTGATGAGGTACTATTAACAGCTACCATCACAAACATCAGTTGGAGAAATTGTCAATGTCCTGCTCTTTCATGATTTGTTTAAAAGCAAGCTGGTGAAGAGGATGATTTTCAGGTTTAAGTCATTATCAGTTTACCACTGAAGCAGGCAAAAAATTGTAACGAAACTGGCTGCTCTATCGAAAGAGGCAAAAAGGCAAAAACTTTTTGTGTAATCAAGCCTTAACTGCCTTTATAAGTTTCAAAATCCAAAATTTTGAAAAACACTGTCCAAGATTAAGATTTTAACTTCTGCCACAGACATCGTTACAATTTTCTATAACGTGTTTTCTTGATTGCCTCCCAGAGGCAGTATACGCATACATCTTCGTCCTTCCCGGCTTCTTCAAGTATAATATAGATTTGTGACAATTTCTTCTTCGCCGGCTTTTCGCTAGTTCCACGACATTGGAGCTCCTTTGCAATAGCGAATTTGCTGAAGCCTGACGAAGAATGTGCTTTTAAAAGCCAAAGGAAGATGGTAAATCAAATTTTGCTGTACAAATCGACCTTTTTTAGCGCAGCACCGCTTTTATTTGGCATTCGAAAACAGTGTGTGTCGGGATTACATCACCGAAAAGTCCTACAAACGCATGGAAAGCCTTTTGGTGCCAATCGTCTTCAAGAAAACGTTCTATGAACTAACTTTGCCACCAGGATCATTTATCGCTGCAGATGATTTT